CATGTTGGGCTGAAGGGGCCTCTGTGAGCCTCCGATGACGGTTCAAGAGCTCTCCCGGCAGATGACAGCAAGGCCAGCAGTCAAGGACGTCCTGAGATAGCGCATGGTCGACGGCAGAACTGGTCAATATCCCAGCCCAATTACTTCTAGCTGAGTGCACTTTCCTATAATAGTTTCAGGAGATTGTATCTTCTTTCTCTCTAAAATCCAGCTAGGAACCCAAATCTCCAGGGCTACCCCTGAAATGACTCTGTGGGGAAATTGCTGACATCCCCCATCTTGAGCTGTTCCAGGGAGAGAAGGTGGAGCTGCACTGGGAGCGCCCACGCCCGTGCCTCTTGGCAGCCATTGAGTTTGTGCCCCCGTGCCAGGCACTGTGCTTGGTCTTCATAGAGATCAGCTCATCTAAGTCTCAAGAACCACACACAATAGGCCCGTTTCTATTCGATAGATGGGGCGGGGGAGGGGGCATGTAGCACCTAGAACTGGCATCAATTCCTACATCTGGTTAAGGGTTGGCAGGATGGGGCCCAGCTCTGTTCTGCATCCAAGGCAGGGCTCAGAACCACTGACTTTTAAAAACCGTATCATGAAAATGCAAAGTAAACCTTAGCTGGCCTCAGGGAATCTTGCCCCTGCAGAAACTTACAACCCCTGCCAAGCTCACAGAGAGGACGTGCCCCACAGGTGGCAAGTTGGGGGCTTGGGAGTTGTTTCTTCCTGCTTCTGTCCAAACTCTTTTATTGGGGGTCTGGGGGGAGAGTAGAAGCACCAATAATGAAGAAAACATTCAGGCCTGGAAGTTGAGCGGCGACAGAAAGAAAACAGAACAGGTTTGTCTTCTAAACCAAGGGTAGTCTAACAGCCAAACTGCCTAAGAGCCACAAGGGAAATTCTATACTGTTCTTAAATTCTTCCACCACCACCATTTCACTAACAAGTCTTGAATCAGCTAGACCCTTGATATAAGAAGGACTTCTGGGCAAAAATGAACCACTAATCTCTAAATTGGTGTTCTCTTTACAGAATCCCTTTCCTTAGGGCCTCCCTGGTGGCACAGGGGTTAAAGCCTCAGCGCTATCAAGCTATGGCAGGCCACTGCAGCAGGAGTTCAGTGCCCGGCCAGGGAGCTGAGCCACATGGCGCAGCAGATCTCTCCTGCCTCCCTGCTGCTCCCCTCAGCAGTGGATTTCAGTAGATCCGCTTGTTTTGCTCCCCACTCTGTCTCTGGTGAACCCTCTCACCCCCTCACCTCTGGCCTACACCCCAGTTCTTGTATACATGAATAAAATTTTTTAAAAATCCCTTTCCTTAAGGGAGAAAAATTACAGTAAACAGTCAGCTCCTAAGGCTTTTTCTAATCAAGACTGTCCAAAGGTAGAAGCGCTGGGACTTTGAGCAGAAGAGGAGGGAGCATCAAACTTCTTACCACAGTGGGTATGAAAATCTTTCACATTAAAGGACCCTTTGGCAGGTGAGACGGGCATCTGTGGTCTAGAAAAAGGATGAGAAAGACAATGTTTGTGGAGGAGTGGAGCCCAGGAGGCAAAATCCTGCCAACATGATGCATTGCCTTTTCTCCAAATCTGCCATTTATTGTGATTTTGTGCTTCTCTAAAAGTAAAACATTCTCATTACGCACTTGAATCTTAACCTGTGAATGTCTTTTCAGTGAGAGCAAATCCGTGTGGTCCCGGAGCCCCCCCAGGGCACATTTATAAAGAATGGGGTCCTGGAAACGGCAGTAATTCACCGTCTGACAGTTGTCTCCTCTCTGCACTCGCCGCTTCTGGCATGGAACACATGTGCGTGCACTTGTCTCTGGAGCTCGCCAAGCATAAATAATTCACGCTAGCCTCTCACTGCTGAGCTGAACCACATGCCTATTGTTTTTCAGACAGAGGAATTCGCATTGGCTTTGATGGAGCATTTAAAAAGGACACAAAATTAAACAACTTGATCTGGCATGTAGCTCAAGAGTAGCCAGTCATTACACAAATGGAATTCTCTTATTAAAAATCTGGTTTCTCCTTAGACAAATAGGAGCTGGAAAGCACTTACTCGAGTGCTCCAAATACCTTGCTTCTTTGTTCCGGGATGCACTTGACTTAGAATCGCTTATGCTGGAGATGCATCAGCCCCTAGCATGCTGGCAACCAGCCCCAGGCTGCAGTGGCCTTTTGTGCGAACTTCTGGGAGGCTATGGTGTGTGTGGAGGCAGAGCTGCAAGCATGGCGACTGGTGCACATTGACTTCATTTCTGGCTTCTCTATATAGCGTTTTTGCACATAAAGCACCAGCTGGGATTAGAGGACAGCAGGGCACAGTAGAAAGAGCATGTGACTGTAGGAGAGTCATATAGCTGGAGTTCTAAGAAAACCCCACCAACCTGGCTCCGATACTCAAACACCGATTTGTTTGCGCAGGCTGTCGTAAATGCCAGAGACTGGGTACCAGACAACAGTTAATTCTATAACAGCTCTGGAGGCTGTAGTTATAGATCAATGCAGACAGGCTGGGTTTCTTCTGAAACCTCTCCTTGGTTTTCGGGGGGCCAGCTGCTTGCTGAGGGCCCACGTGGTCTTTCTTCAGCACACTCTACCCCAGTAAAGGGCTTATCTCCAACTCTAGTCACCTTCTGAGGTACTAGAAGTTAGGGCCTCACAAGAATTTGGGGGACACATGATTTATCCCAGAACAAGGTGATGGACAAAATAGGGACTTGATAAAAGCTCCCATTTTTCCTTTGGCATAGGGAAAGAGCTCGTGCCTTGAAATCACAAAGCACTTCAACTCCTGGTTCTACTACTTGCTAAGTAAGGGAAGTTGGCAAGTTGCTTAACCTGTTTCATCACCTATGAAACAGGAATATCTTCCTCAAAGGGATTGTAGTGAGGATAAAGTGCTAAGCATGTGTCTGAGGTCCTCAACAGTATCTGGAAGGGACAGGCTAAATGTATTTGCTACTGTTGCATTGTTTCTTTCTAGAAATAACTGTGATTAATGGTTTGTACTTGCCTTTTTGTCCAAATGCACTGGCAACTAACCTTGGTGATGGTCTGTGAACTAAATAAAGCAACAAATCTTAGTGAGTTCAAGAAACAGTTGACTGAACAAAGACAGCAGCAGAGATGGCTGATGAAACTACCCCACTGCAGCCCTACTACTGTGATTACCCACAAACCCACAGCAGACTGCACAACATCAGACCACCTCCTCCCTGGTATGATGAGCCACACATTTCCTCTCCTCTTACCTGTCTCCTGGCAGTTTCCCTTAAGTCACGGGCAGCCCACGTCAGAAAGCACTAGCCAGAATGAGAGCAGGGATAGAAAACAAATGGCAGGCTAGGAAGGACCCCAGGAGCTTCAGCTCGGGGGCAGGGGTGCATGAGCTGAAAAACTGTCTTAGTTGTTGCTTCCAGTCAGGCCTCTAGACAGAAGCCAGTTCTGTTTCAACCATTCCACACTAACAAGATTAAAAGGAACCTCTAGAAGTGAGAAGATTAACCTCAGGGTGACGTAATCACAATCACATCTGTGCCAATCTTCGAACTACTTGTTACTGGTCCATGACAACACCCAGAAGTCAGGATGCCTTTAGAAACTTTAATAGCTGCTTGATAATTTTGTCTGTTAAATATATAATTTAAATCGTATGCTTACATCTTGCTTTTTTTAAAAATGCATTTGTATTGCATCACATTGCATACATATTCATAAAAAGATTGATCCATGGCAACTTGTCTTGTAACAAATAGCTTCAGCACTGGGTTATAAGCTTCTAAATATTGCTGTGTGAACAAATATCTTTCATAACTCAACAATATATTACGACTTAGATCCTGGCACATCTTACTCCAAAACAACAATCAGTAAACCATGGCATTTTCCCACATTCTACCTAATAAAATTTTCATGTTTTTGTGTCAGAACAACAAAAACCAGCTTCCAGTGCACATCCCAGTACAAATTTTCACCATATTTGAAATGATTAATATCCACGGGGCTTTTGATTTAAATATTTATGAAGACTATGGACAAGCTACTCTGTTCAGAACTGAAAAGATATCACAGGGAAAAATCCTGAATGAGTCAGAAAATCTGGATCCCAACACTGGTTTTGGTGCCTAAAAGATTTTTTCATATTGTGTAAGTCATTATCCCACCAAGTCAGTTTCCAGAAACTACAGATTTAAATGACCTGCCCAACCCACATTTTAAGAATGCTGTGAGGGGCCTCTCTGATGGCACAAGGGGTTAAGCACTGCACTACGAAGCAATCTGCAGCCTCGGTAGCACCAGTTCAATCCCCGGCCGGCCAGGGTGCAACCCACATGGCGAGGCGGACCTCTCCTGTCTTGCCCGCTGCTCCCTTCAGCAGTGTATTTCAGTCAGTCCGCCTGTTGTGTTCCCCACTCTGTCTCTGGTGATTCCTCTCACCGCCCCCACCACCCTGCAACTCTGGCCTGTACCCCAGCTCTTATGTGCATTAAAAAAAAAAACTTTAGGAAAAAAAAGAATGCTGTGAGGTTCAAATGAGAGGCCTGTGGAACGTGCCTCACAGATATGAAAGCACAGCGGACAGGCTTAGTGCGTGAGCCCAGCCTTCAAAAAGTTAGCAGCCTCCAAGGAGATGGCTCCTAAGAGGCCAGCGATGAAGCCAACCAGAAAACTGACATTCTCCAAATATTTTGTTAATAAAAGACTTGTCAAATTAGAAAATGCTGAGTTCAAATTCTTCCCTCTGAGAAAGCACTCACGTTCTACGGAACTATTAAGTGTGGTGCTTCCATCCTGTCAGGTACCTGGCACAGTTGTACATCATGGAGAAAGCCAAAGAACACACAGGGCCTGACTGGGGTGGCCTGCGGCCGGCTCCAGGCAGCACATGACACCCGATACACATCAACTTCCCCCATTTAAACTTGTACAGCTATGAACTTGTACATCTCAAAAAGACAAACTTAAAAATTTACCATTTCACTTCTGTGCCTTAGGCAAAAGACAACCAGAAAATCATAATGTATTTTGGCTTTATTGAAGACATTTTACAGTAGACAAACAAATAGACAAACACATGCTTTATAAAATATACATTCTTCTCATGTGTGAGAAAATATAAATAGATACTAGGAAAGGGCCACACTGAACAACAACTTGGCTTAGAACTCTCTTTGGTTACATCTAGTACCGGGGCTGCTCAGAATTCTCCTCTGACGGGGGAATAAAGGAGGAAAGGATGGAATACTCTCTACAGATCAAGATCACTTGAAGTAGTCAAGGGATATTCCAAGAACACTTGACCACCTGGTGATCAATTTCTTTTTCAAAACAGTTACAGTTGATAAAAGATCACTTTATGCCTTAAATCTGACAACAGGCTCAAATCAAGCTATTTCTACCCCTTTTCACCCCACCCCTTGGGGTGACTTTATTAGAACTGCTAAGAAACCCTTCACCAACAACCTTGAGAGAGTGGGTTCAAATAGCCCCCCCCCCCACACACACACCCTCTCTTCCTATCCACAAAGACTTCGGGTGGTTCAGGGGCTTCCAGGTGTGGTTTTGTTAAGAGCAGCTTATAATATATCTTTTAATTCAGAATTTATTTTTGTCAACAAATTAGGCAGTTGTCCAAAAAAGCAAGAAGGAAAATTAAAAGCCTGTTGTTGATTTAGATTGTACTCCAAACAAAAAGTTTTAAGTTTTAAGAAGCAGGAGGAAAAAGCATCTGCCAAACTGCACTGGGAAAGAGACCAAGTAATAGAAAAATAAAACACTACATGCAAGTTGCCAAAAAATTTTAACTCAACCTTATACGGTCCAACTATTTCACAATTACCTCTGTATTCTGCATCAAGAAGCAAAACAAGAAATGGAGGATGCAGTATAAAATGACAGTGAATTTTCCTCTATTTGCTCCACTACCCTTCTGGCATTTCTGTGGACATTAAAAACAATTAAAAAGGGTAAAAAATATTGGGTGTAAAGCTACACAATTCCATTATCATGCCAAATGGAATCCCACTGATAAATGAAAAGAATAAAAGGTAGTACTGTATTACTTTTTAGAACTATAGTAGTGACATTTGTGTCACTAGCTAGGTACAGATTTCCTCAAAAGAATGATTTCAGTTTCATGTTTTAGTCACTGACATAGGTCAGGCCCCTTTTGTCAATTAAAGCTCAAATTCTTTAGCTTAAGAAAAGTTTCAATCTCCACACTATTGAGTATAAAGGGTTCTGAAGGACAAGGTTTAAGACTATCGAGTTGCTTCTAGAAATTTCCAAAGATAAAACTGAAAGAGACCATAAAAGTCATCTTGCCCACATTACAGCTCAATGCAGAAATTTCTTCAGTGCTATTAAAAAATGTTATTTAGCTTGTGCGTGTACTTTTCCCAAGAAAGGTTGAATAATACAATTGTCAGACAAACCTAATTACAGTTAGCTCATCTCATAAATGGAATTCTTACCAGGTGTGCACTGTATCCTTCCTTTGACTTCTGTCCCACTGATATCTCCTGTCCTCTGGAATAAAACAAGGGACTCTAATCCTTATCTCATGACAACCCTGTGATTAAAAACTTTTATTATAGCTCCCTTTTTAGGAAAATGGACTGACCACTCCTTAGTTGGTAATAGGAAGGCACCTTTTTAACATGAAAGTTACCTTAACACAGTTTTGAGGTGGAATACTGGAGGCAACTTACACTGGGCTGGTTTCGATCTTTTCTGTTCTCTGGAGTAACCTGCATACCAGGGAAAGTACTTTAGATGCCATTGAGTGAAAGAAAGCCAGTGGCTTTTTTGTAAATTGTGCCAGTAAGGTCTGGAGTTCAAGGAAAATGCTGTTTCTCCTGACAGTTAAGACTTGAAGATATAGTCTAAGAAGGACACAAACAAATTAAGAGACTACGTAAATCCCCACAGATACAGGGAGGTAACTGGGATGAAGCAGAGCAGAGATTATTACTCTCAGCATTTTAGTTTGCCTTGCTTTGCAAACATGCTTACTTAGACTGGCAGGCAGACATGACACATTGCTGGGCAGAAATACTGGTGACCCACTAATCCTGCTTATAGTAAAGGGTTAAATTGTTACTTGGTCAAAAACCTATGTAATAATGAAATGTTTCAGGAATTACTTCTCTGAAGATTAGATTATTTCCAGGGTAGGCTATTCACATTTAAACAACTTCCTTACAGGTATTTTAGTTTTTTTATGCAAGGTAGTAAATATCTGGGAGGACATCTCAACCATTTGAATTGACATAGTGGAGAACCTGGTCATTCTGGAGACCAGTCTCAACACCACCAGCAGGTGGACTACTACTAAGCAGAGAAGCAACACTCAGCATTGAAGTTTTCTAGAGCACTGGTTTGCAGCCTGTTTTCTGTCCGCTCACATGGGCCAGCTAATGCTCACTTGTAGCCTGGCTCTAACCCCACCTATCAAAACTTGAGTGATGGTACTATAACTATAGCAATAACCTTGAATACATTAGAAAGGTTTAGTGAGTCACAAACTAATTACTAATTAGCTGTGGCACCTCTCAACCAATTCTGCCACCCTGGTGGGCTGTAACACTAGCATTCGCACCTGCTGTTCTAGAGAGCAAGGGATGGTGTCCAACTTAGCCAAGATTCTTCATATACACTGTACTGTTTAGAAGCAGAGTATTTCTCCTCTTGTCATGCCATGAGGAAATTAATCTGGCTCAAATGAGAGCAAGCAGCATCACTCTTGTTCTATAACAAACATTTCCTGAAAGCAGCTTTTTATCAGAGTAGTATAAGCCTCCTCGATTCCGGGGAGGGATCACAGATTCATAGAATGTTACAAGCAGAAAGGGCTTCAGAGCATCTAGTAAGAGGCCCTCGTTTTACAAATGAGAAAATGAGGGTGAGAAGTTAAGGGACTTGCCCTTGATTATACAAGTAAGTAGCAGAGTCAGGAATTTAACAGAACTTTCGTTTCCAAATCAGTCCAGATAAGTTCTACTATAACCCAGTAAGTAACAAGAAGGAACATAAACAGATAGGGGAAAGAGTGATATTTAAGAAGTTCAAAGCAAAAATGAACAGCAGCTACCAGTTGAAAAAGGAAAGAGACAAGCATGGTGGTAAAACCAGCTAAGGAAGTGCTGTCGCCTATGGGAGAGATTGAAAACTAGTATAAAATTCAGCTAATTCTGGCAAAAAGCTGAGAAATTCTGTGAGTTTAGAACCCTGGAATGCACGACTTAGATATTTTTAAGTAATTTAAGTTATTAAGTAAGTAGCTAGACTTACTAGATTTAGAAGACAGTTTCTGAGAGTCTATGTAGGGAAATCTGACAGTACAAGAACTTTAGTCCATTACATTCCATTAGAGTTAAGTCCTTGTTTATATAAAGCTATTTGCTATCAGAAATTCAAGAAAACTTTTTGGTTTAAATAGTCACCTGTACAAAATAAGATTACTCCAAAGCTTTATAGTATTTCTGTACGTCCTACTCCCAAAAGCATTCCTCTCTTAAGATATACAGTGCATTGGTAGAAGAAAAAAATATTTTAAAAATACACAGAAAAGAAACAGTCTTTGGTTTCCTTGTCAACTAAGTACTTGCTGAAAGACATTCCCAAAACAAGTTTCCTCCATCTGTGTGCATATGGCCTATGACAAGACTGCTAGTCTTTGGAAAGAGAATTTTTATGCTTAAAAGGTGGTAACACACGGCACTTATAAACAGATGGCTAATGAACAGATGTACGAACCTTCAGGTGTGAAAAAAGTTACCCCAAGATTGTGTGTGTGTGTATGCATTAACTAGGTACCCTGCCTCTAAACATGTACTTCTTAACAAATACATTTTTTTAAAACTTTAAACCAACCCTTTAGAGCTCACCAAAACAAGTCATACAAAATCTGTCTGTGATCTGAGAAGTCGCTGTCAATATTGTTTAAGTGAATATTATATATAATTTTGGCATATCAAAAATATTTACATTGCAGTCGAACACATATGGGAGTGATGAGTACAAAAAAAAATATTTATAAATGCACATCTATTTACAGTAAGATCCCTAGGTGATAAGGACCATTAAAAAAAAAAAAATACAAGAATACAAACCCCCTTGACCTGTTAACAGTTGGTCAAGCCTGGAATCCTTGTCAAAGACCTTGAATATCAAAGCCCCGGTCTCAATTATATTTTAAAGCCACTGAAGATTCCAGGCACACTTCCCAGAGGGTTATTTTTGTTTCTTGAAAGGCAAAATTGAACAGTGATGTTTCTCAGGATTACTCTGAGGGCTGAGACAACCAGCATGCTAAGCAGCAATGATCCTTCCTCATGGACACCACACACCTGGCGACACCCCTGGGGCTGCATCAGGAGGCAGATCTGCACTGGATCCTCCTCTGAAGTGCTGCACATTTTTAGTAGGTGCACCCATTTTTGTCAGCTATTACCCTTTCTTCATCAGGCAAAAGTCCAAACAAATGCCTGGCCCACCACCTTGTTGTGGTCAGATCTCACAAAGAGTAAAGCAAATGCTGACTCTGGGTTTCTTCTGAACTCTGAGGTAGTAAATACATTAATTAATTAGAGTCTTTGCCCAGATTTCATCCAGGAGTGAGTTTCATGTGCCCTTGCTACCATCTTGAACATTCCGAGTCCTACTAAAATCAAATGTGTGGTCGTGTAACCTCTGACAGGGCACTGGGGAGGCGGCACAGTCTGGGTCACTCTCTGCCAGGCCCTTATGTGGATGGAGCTGTGGCGACTCCAGGACTGGCTGCTGGGAGAAGGAGGGATGAGGCAGACCGAGTTCTTTGCCTATGCTCCACAGAGGTCGCTGCAATGTTTCTGAAAATGAAAGACAAGAATTATCAGTGGTGAGTGCAAGTTTAAAATTAATTTTCTAAAACTTTTATCCAAATCCTCAAAGAAATGAAGATGTCCAAAATTCCAGAATCAGGACACGGAAATCAGATGTAAACTTGCTAGCTTAGCAACTAACAAAACAAAATAAAAACTGAAACTATGGTTTCTCAATCCCTTCTACTTAACAAACTTAACCAGTTATTTACTGAAACCTCGCTATATGTAATCATTTTGCCTATTACTAGTGGCTCTGCTGCTACAAAAATTTTAAAATGAAACTCTTTAGACACATGGAAACAGACTAAGGGACTCAACAGTATTCCTATGCAATGAAAACTGCATGGTACATAAATAATTATTAATTCAGTGTAGCTATTACATCTTTAATAAACAGCAATGTTAAAAAACAAACTTTTTGAAAGAAAACAAACCCCAGCTTCTCGCATGCCAATAATTGGAATGACAATAACCTACAGCAGCTACTTTAAATTAAGATTATCTATATGTACTCTGCTTCCAAACATACGTATTTCTCATTCTCCTTATTTACTGCAGTAGTGAACGCCTTCCCCAAAAATCACTTATTGAAAGTTTGATTAACTTCAGAGGGATACATTTTAGAAAAAGCCAAAATTCTGGAAACACAATCAGAAATAAAAATAAAGCCCATGTGAAAGGTAAGCTGGAGTAGGCCTTCTCAGGCTTTAATCTGCACACAAAAAACCTGGGGATCTTGTTAAATTACAGATTCTGGTTCACTAGGTCTGGGGTCAGCGGGACCCATGATCAGCATTTCTAACAAGTTCTGCAGATCTGAGTCCCACCCTATCTCCAAGTGCTCTTCTATCTCAGGCTGACTGGAGAATGACAGCTGATAAAAAGTCTGGATGGACAAGGAGAACTGCTCAGTAAGTGCCCTTCATGGTCTAGAAAGAATTTTGTTTTGCTTTACTGACAGAGTTGTTTTCAATGCCTGATATGCCACATACTTCTTTTCTCAGGTTATGTGGACACTATCCCACACCCACTTTCTCACTTATAGCCCTGAGGATAAAATCATAGGCAAAAAGGAAACACCTATCAAATGACACTGACATTCAGTATTTACCTGATAGAACAGCAACCAAATAAAACATTTTAAAATCTTCTCAGTTAAAACTTTCCAATTATGCCCAAATTACACACTTAACATTTCAAATCTCCATTACTTAAATAAAGGTGAGGGGGAAATTCTTCACACCACATAAAACTTTTTCTGTATGGCCTCTGAGTTTTTAGACATGATCTTGTTATTCCCAAAAAAGCTATTTTGACCCTATAGACAGACTTCTTTGTAACTCTACCCTTTAAAATAATTCTCTAGATCTAGTTTATACCAGTGGAACAGACGGTAGGTGAAAATGAAAACAAAAACTGGGCCTTTACCGCTGCTCATCTGTGTGGAAGAGAGTTTCTTCTCACTTATCCTCTCGTGGTTGGTGGGAAAGGCAGTCGCCTCTCTATCTGCTGAGGAAACCAAATTCTCCATGGTAGAGACATCTTGGGGAGGATGTGCCAAATATGTCTCTTTAGGCATCTGAACCATGAGGCTGGACAATGTCTGATCTAGAACATCCTCCTCGGCAATATAGGTATACGGACAGTATTCTCGGGTCCTGGAGTAGATGTTAGCATTGTCATAACAATCAGAGCAGATAACCCGGGTACCAGTGCCACCTATTGACAAGACAGGAAAGAATCCAAACATCCTTTAAGTTAAGAAATCAACTAGAAGGGCCTTCCTGGTGACGCAGTGGTTGAGTGCTGGGTTGCGAAGCTGCCTGCAGCCTCTGCAGCACCGGTTCGATCCCTGGCTGCTCCCCGGCCACCAGAGGAGGGTCCCAAATGGTGCGCAGACCTCTCCTGCCGCCCGCTGCTCCCCTCAGCAGTGTGCTTCGGTCCTTCTGCCTGCTCTGCTCCCTGCTCTGGCTCTGGTGAATTCTCTCACCCTCCCGCACTTTTGACTGTACCCAGTGCTTGTATAAATAAATAAAAAAAAATCTTTAAAAAAAAAAAAAAAGAAAAGAAAAGAAATCAACTTGAAGTTTTCTTCAACAGTTTATCATTTTCATCACAGCTGGCATTTATTTCACATCTTTTTTTTTTAAAGATTTCTTTATGTATACAAGAACTGGAGTATAGGCCAGAGGTGTATGGGAGGATGTAAGAGGATTCACCAGAGACAGAGTGGGGAGAACAGGTGGATCTATTGAAATACACTGCTGAGGGGAGTAGCGGGCGAGTCAGGAGAGGTCTGCTGCACCATGTGAGCAGCTCCCTGGCTGGGCATGGAACTTGTGCTGCAGTGGCTTGCGGACAGCTTCATAGGTTGCTTCTCAATCCCTTGCGCCACCAGGGAGACCCTATTTCACATCTTCTTTACACCAAAGGAGGTCTTGAGATCTTTCTGTGAATTAACTAATTTAATCCTCACAGCATCCCCATGATGCAGATACTATTATTTTCCCACCTTTACAGATGGTGTAACTACAACACAGAGATGTTAGGTAATCTGCCAAGAGACATGGTGCCAGGGCGAGGAGCTGAAATCTGAACCCAGGCATTCTGGCTCCAGAGCCCATGTTCTTGCAGTACATTAAACCATCTTTGTCCAGCCTGGATAAAGTCAGACTCAAATCGAGGAAGCCAAGATAAAGCTGGCTGTGCTACAGGATACATGTTTGGCTTAAGCAAACTACAGCAGAGAACAAGGGAGCTAATGATGACTTCACTTCACAAAAGCCTGTATTACTTGTGTGAGTCAAGAGGTTAAGCAACACCAATTGCTACACGTACCCCTGGAGAAGGCCGCTTACGGTCAAGAATCCTGCCTGACATATGTGTGCTTGGCGGAAGTGAAGCTTTAATAATAAACTCCTAGACTGGTATGTACTTTGAAAATGGAAATTTGAGGGCCCCCCTGGTGGCACAAGGGATTAAGACACAGCACTATGAAGCTATCTGCAGCTACTGCAGCATGAGTTCAATCCCCAGCCAGGGAGCTACCCACATGGCGCAGCAGACCTCTCCTGACTCGCCCACTGCTCCCCTCAGCAGTGGATTTCAGTTAATCTGCCTGTTCTGTCCCCCACTCTGTCTGGTGAATCTTCTCACCCACTGCATCTCTGGCCTGTACCCGAGCTCTTGCATGGATAAATAAATAAATTTAAAAAAAAAAAAAGGAAATATGAGAGGAAAGAGTGAAAAATAAAGAGCGATTTATTTACTCATGACTAAGCAACAGAACTGTTATTTCACACAAATTTCAGAGCTTTTAGGTATTCTTTTAAAAGTGTAATACCCCCTTCTCCATGGAAGGTCAAACTAAAACCAATTCATCAATTAAATTTACCAGTTGATTAAATAGAGACGTTCTGTTCACTCAACTTAAAAATTCTCTGTAGAATGGACCCTTCATTTGTAGGGCACTTGAAGTACTATATAGATTTGTTGAGAGTATCTATAGGAATCTTGAAAGAAGTGCTTTATAAAATACTGTTTATTTTTCAATGATGAAATTCAACCTCAGATCTTAAGTAACTTTTTCATGGTTACAGAGCTGGAAAGGGGAGCTAAGCATTAAGCCCAATTTTTCTACTAATTTTTCTATTCTTTAATTCACCTCCCTGGTGTCTGTCAACAACCATGGGGAGGGTAGACTGGGAAGAGCTGAAGAGCTAAAAAGTTGGGTTCATTTAATTAGAGACATTTTATATCTCTCTTATGTTATCCAATATATGCTGAGGACCATCACTGCCCTTAAAACTTTAGAATCTACCTATTAGCAGGTGAAATAAACCTTCCTTGGGTATGGTCAAAAGGATTCTCATGCCTGAAAAGAATAAAAGGGTTATCTCCTTCATGTATCAATAGTACGTTGGTTGGGTGCCTCTGCTGTGCACTCCAGTCCCTTGTGTGAAGATGTTTCTCCTTTCTATTAGAAGATTTCCTCTTCTGCTAAGACATTATTTAGTTTTCATCCTATTCTGCTTGAGGTAAAATTATTTCACTGAGCATTTTACTTAAGTATTTAAATTAGAGGGGAAAACTATATACTGAAAAGGAAACTCTATGGGGTAGGTTGAAACTGTAAGCATATATGACAGAGTCCTTACCGTCAGCACCTTTGTGTAAATATCCGTTGGCAGGAGGCATAAGTTGCTGATGGCTGCCTGCTTCAGAGTTGCTGTAGCCTTCCTGGGGCTCGGACAGAGTTCCTTGGGAAGACAAGTAGCTGGGAATGTCTGCAGGCAGATTAAGTTCCTCTATAAAAGAGACACCTGTAACTCTCAAAGTTAAGCAACTTAAGCCAACACTCAAACGACTGTTTTGTGAATGCTTTATACTTTGATACTGTTGGCCAGAAAAATGTTAGGGACCTAGAAACTCAATAGCTGTATTTCCCTCCAAAATATTTCTCACTAGAATTCTTATCAAAGCTTCACTTTAAAGCATTAGCAAAAGAAAGTCTAAGATCTTTCCAGACAGACACGCTACCATAATCTTTGTAGCTGGACCTCTTTTCTCACAAGATTTTGAGGGGAAGGGTATGAAAGACTGATGTGTCATGAGGGGTTCGCTCTTCCCTTCAGGGAAATTACCAAGGAAATAAGCTTTAGGGCATTAAAGAAAGGGTGCCTATTGGGCCTCCCCTGGTGGTGCAGCGGTTGAGCGCTGGGCTGCGAAGCTGCCCGCAGCCTCTGCAGCACTGGTTCAATCCCCGGCCGCCGGGGAGGGTCCCACATGGTGCACAGACCTTTCCTGCCGCGCCCTCTGCTCCCCTCAGCAGTTTATTTCATCAGTCTGCCTATTCTGTTCCCCGCTCTGGTTCTGGTGAATTCTCTCACCCTCCCACACTTCTGACTGTACCCAGTGATTGTATAAATAAATAAATTAAATAAATCTTAAAAAAAAAAAAAGGGTACCCATTATGTATTTGTAAGTTCTGGAGCAGTGTCTACAAATTCTTGGGAATTAGTCATCAGTGAGGCTTCATTATAGCAAGATGAATATTTTAACAGAAAAACTTTTCTTTCCTATTTACTATTTACCACACATAGGTAAATATTCAAAGCTTCTTCCTTTGTTTTACAGTAAACTCTATACTATATTCTCAAGTCAAATATAATGCCCAGGTGTCAACTGGGTACCACCTACCTGTGTTTGTGATACTATAGTCTTCATTTTTCCTTCTCATATGGTAAATAACAATGACCCAGATCAAGGAGGTGCCCACAACACAGCAGACCACAACAATGATGACAATGCCAACCGTGGTCCAGCCATCATCTTCATGCCCAATGCTACTCTGGGAAGAGTCACAATTAGGGGATGAAATGACATTCAGGTAAATGTGACCACGTTCTGTGCCAAGGGTGTTAGACATAATGCAGGTGTATTTCCCAGCATCTTCTAGGCCAGCATCTACAATGATGAGGAGCTGGTTGGCTGCAGCAAAGAAGTGTCGTTCTGTCACCAGGAGTGGCCCATCATCCTTGGTCCAGTTGAGGCGGGGGACGGGACTCCCTCCAGCTATGCACTGTAACACTGCAGTTTCCCCTCGGGTCACCGTCTTGTCCTCCAGGGGTCTAATAAAGGAAGGTGTTTCTAACAAAAAGATGTATTAAAAAATCGTATTGAGCAATTTTATGTCTTACATGCCAGTGAAATATGAGGTTAAGGTGAAATGACTTCTTTCATATATTCACAAGAGGATTAAGTTAATTAAGTTAAAGAGCACAAATTTCAAAAAAAATCTACATTTTATCTTAATAATTCCAATTGGGGCAAGCTATTCTAATAAATTCAAAGTTTTATACACAAAAATGTTTATTATAAAATTAGTTGCAATTTTAAACATTAGAAGAAAAATCTTAAAAACCTTTTTAAAATCTAGCAGAAAAATGAAAGTAAATTACAATATGGCCATACTATAATAACAATAGTTATTATTAATAACCTTCAATTTATGAAGATTTTATGATAGGGTAACTCTTATAATACAACATTAAGTGGAAAAGAGGAGGTATAGTTACATAAAAATGAGTATTAAAAAAGCTCCAGAACAAATATGCCAAAATGTCTTTATTTAACTTTCCCTTCTTTTTCCCCCTAATATTCTGCATATTTAAAATTTTTAAAACAAAAACTTATTTTTCTGATATACAAGTAAATGCAAGCCAACACACTTTTTAAAAAACCACCTTAACATTTAGGGGAATAGAGAATTAGAAAGTAGAATTTGACTTGGATGTGAATTCTATGGAAAAAAAAAAAGTTTTCATAAGCAAAAAAACCTAGTCAAGTCAGGGAAAAGATATTCAACCAAAGGATAGGACTAAGAACACAATGGAAGGAAAACAGGAAATTTATCCAGAATATTTTTAGTGTTTTAAAAATGAACAAGGGAGAAAACAGTTAAATTGTCTTGAGTTCTCTGTGAAGCAGCATGTAAACTGATTCAACAGTATCTATTAAGCTGAACAGTAGAAAAAAATGTATTGAAGTAGAAATCTTAAAGAGGGAAATGGAATAGGAAAGACTGAAATAAAGATTTCAATTTTCTTTTTTTTTTTTTTTTTATTTGTTTGTTTTGTGTTTATACAAGCACTGGGTACAGTCAGAAGCGCGGGAGGGTGAGAGAATTCACCAGAGCCAGAGCGGGGAGCAGAGCAGGCTGAAGGACCGAAGTACACTGCTGAGGGGAGCAGCGGACGGCAGGAGAGGTCTGCGCGCCATGTGGGACCCTCCTCCGGTGGCCAGGGAGCAGCCGGGGATGGAACCGGCGCTGCAGAGGCCGCAGGCAGCTTCGCAACCCAGCGCTCAACCGCTGCGCCACCAGGGAGGCCCAAGATTTCAATTTTCAATTCACGTGATAAACTCCTCTAATTCTGCCCCCAGAATTTCCCCAGATTTCAGTTATCTGGTCTACTAATACCCTAGGCTGTCACTAACCCCATGTAAATTGGCAAAATAAGGTGACCAAGATAAAAGGATCACAACTGAAATCTTAAATTAGACTTTTATCGCCATTAAGACCAAGAGCAGGGGCCCTCCCTAATGTCGCAAGGGGTTAAGATGCAGCACTATGAAGCTATGGGGAGCCACTGAAGCACAAGTTTGATCCCTGGCTAGGGAGCTGACTCACACGGCGCAGTAGACCTCTCCTGTCTCGCCCGCTGCTCCCCTCAGCAGTGTGTTTCCATCAGTCTGCCTGTTCTGTTCCCCACTCTGTCTCTGGTGAATCCTCTCACCCCCCACAGCCTCTGGCCTGTACCCCAGTTCTTGTATGCATAAATAAATAAATCTTAAAAAAAAAATTTCCTAACAGACACTTAAAAAAAAAAAAGACCAAGAGTAAATTCCCATAAAAAAGTTTCAACATAAGCAAGGGACATACCTAAGACTGTAAGAGAGGCATTCGCTGAAAGGCCTCCTGCTGTGTTCTGGGCCATGCAGCTGTAGATCCCCATGTCTTCTATTTTCACATTTGCGATGAAGAAGACATCGTCCTCAGGCATGACATGCATGCGTCTTTCTCGAGCAGCAGGAAAGTCAGTGCCACCATCTTTCTGCCAGGAAATCTGTGGTGCAGGGTGCCCCTCCGCAGCACATTCTAGTCTGGCCATGGCACCAGTGCGAATAGTTAGATCCATTGGTGTTTTCAGAAAAGATGGCATTTCTGTTCCAAGAAAGAGCAACAAGTGAGGGGAAATTACTCTGTGTGTGTGTGCACGCACATACAAATACATATATAAACAGGGGAATCTGTTAAGCAAAATACCAACTACTATAATGCTCCATTTCTTTGAGAAGATTTATTTTCTGGATGATAATGAATTTAGTTCCAGAGGCCATCTCTTCTCCCAGAACCTCAGATGTGTAGAGCATAGTGACGGATTAACTCTTCTAGGATGCAAGACACACCTACCTGACCTCCCTGATTAGAACAGGAAAGCAGAAGGCTACAAACCTTTCTAAACTCCTATTCTAAAATCTGATATTTATGGACTCCTCACTTAAGAGAATAAACTTCCCCAAACTAACATCTACAAAGTTCTTGGGACAACTGCATGATTAAAAAAATGTATGCCTTCTGAAATCTCACAACCAAAAGATAAAAACATCTTTTGGTTGCATAAGCCTAAAATGCTGTAGTTAATTCAAACTGATAGGCAAAAGAGAAACCAAACTAATTTGAAGGGTTTTTTTACAGTCACAATCAAGAAGAGCACTAATTTCAAAAAACTACATTTAGATAATAATTATCACTAGATCCAGAGATGCCGTAAATACCAGCTATAGGTACTAGAAGGTTCTGTGAACAGTGTCAGAAATACATTTCATAGTTTTCAGAACACTTTTGGTTCTAAAAAGAAAACGGATAATTTCAAAAGAATTTTATCAAAGCACAAACAACAGTGAAAACAGCCGATCTCCTGTGGCCATGGATTTCACCTTTTACCCCCTTAACCAAAAAACAACTAGGGACAGTAAGTAGGCAAACTGGCAATGCAGTCTATATACATTTTCACAACCAAGACAAAAACAGAATTCCCCTCAACCATCTGGGTTTAACCTCATTTTCTTTGTCAAGTGAGTCAAAAACTAAATATGAAAAACCCTTCTATCTACAAAACGATGCAGGAGCATAATTCCTTACCATTCACAGTCAGTTTGGCTTTACAGGAATAATTAGAACCAAAGTGATTAGTTGCAATGCACTGATATTTTCCTTCATCTGTGAAGTTTACATTGAAAAGATGTAAGACACTAGTATATTCCAGAGCTTCTCCAGCTTGCTGCTGATAACGAACAAAATTCTCAATCTCAGTATCATACAAGATTTCACTGTCTTTGCGCCACACAGTAGACATGGGTGAATCACTGCTGCTCACTGCAGTGCACGTCAGAGTCACGTTCATGCCTCGCAGAGCAATCGTGTTTTCAGGGTGCCTGCTTATCTGTGGCTTCAGAAAATCATCTAAGTGGGGGGGAAATGGAGCAGGAGGCATGTCAGTTATATTTTTGCTTCTATAGATTCAATTTATAAGTTAGTGCAATCATAAGTAAATGCAAGAATCAAGACAACTTGTCTATGACTGCCCGCCCTTCCCTCTCCAAAACAATCCAAATCCCTGTCACTTAAGCCTTACGAAAATGCATCAAAAATACAAACTTCAAAAAATTGTACATTGAGACACTGCTAGTGAAAACATAAACCAGTGCTTGCTGTCTTCTTAATGTGAAAATACCTATATAGCACTTTCAAGACCTACTTTTAAAAATGCCTACTTTTGAATGAACTCATGTAAAAAAAAAAAAAAACTATACTTTTTGATTTAGGAATCTTACATCTGAATATTTATTCTAAGGTTAATAATCCTCCAAAAATGGAAAGGCCCACATTAAAATGCCATTATACTGCCATTCAAAATGATACTGTAAGAACAAACGTGAAGGGGGGGGGGGGGAACTGCCTCTAAGTATTAAGTCAAAGAATATAAAATTTAATCTATTATTACACCATATAAAAATTAAAAAGCACCCTGGTTTCATTCTTAACTATGGTAAGATAATAAGTGTGATATACAAAGTTTTAAAGCAGAAATACGAACCACAGACAAAATCTTTCAGATCCACATTTAGGATGCTCTGCCTTGCTAGCCACTCAGGGTGTGCACAGCTTACATTCACAGAATGCTGAAAGTTATTATCAACCAGCCACTGAAGCAACCACTTCAAGTGGCAGTCACAAAGCAAACTGCTTGTGTTCAAAATCCTGCGGAAACAAAGAGGAAAAGAAATATCTTGTATTTAATCATGAGAAAACAAAGTCAAGACTGTCACCCTCAATTCCTCAAATATTAGTGTCATAAGAGTACTGGAAAAAAAAAGGAGGGGGGAATGGGACCTATTTTTAGATTAAAGGAGACCAAAGAGCCAATACAATGTAATCTGTGATCTTTAATTGGAAAAAATAGTTATTATAAAGGACATTTTTTGGCAATGAGGAAATCTTGAATATAATTAGATACTATTATTTTATCAACAAGCATTTATCGCAAGAGACTTTTAGGATAGAGACTTCTGTATTGTTTACTACTGCTTTTAGCATCTCTAACGGTAACTCACACAGTAGAGGATAAGAATTTCTTAAATAAGGCCTCCCTGGTGACGCAAGGGGTTAAGACGCAACCTATGAAGCAATCTGCAGCCACTGCAGCATGAGTTCAATCCCCGGCCAGGGAGCTGCCTACATGGTGCAGCAGACCTCTCCTGACTCGCCCGCTGCTCCTCAGCAGTGTATCTCAGTTGCTCTGCCTGTTCTGTTCCCCACTTTGTCTCTGGTGAATCCTCTCACCTCCCACACCTCTGGCCTGTGCCCCAGCTCTTGTATGCATAAATAAATCTTTTTAAAAAATTATATAAAAAAAGAATTTCTTGAATAAACAAATTATTGTCATCACATTCTAAAAAGGGAAACTGAGTCTCAGGCTAAACAATTTGTCCACTGTTAGAAAGAATGGGAAAAGAATTTAAACGTAGGCATTTGAACTTACACTTCTAGAACATCTGTTTTTCAAATATCCAATCTTAGAGCAACACTTTTATAAAGTAAATAGAGGTGTCTCAATAATGTTAACTTGTTCTAAGCTACAAGTTTCTAAATGCTTACTCTAAATGTCTATTCTTATCTCAGTTCTGGTCCACAGACCTTCCTTTGACAAGCTTTCAGGCAAGGCAAGATAAACAGTTATAGCCCACTGATTCTTACCCCGTGCTGAATATGTGAATCACCCAAGTTTAAAATTAACCATCCCTCCCCCTGGGAAATCTCTAAACCTTTAAGAGCAATTAACAAAAAAAATATGAAAATGGTTTTCCTATTACAATTATTTAACAGTTTTTGAACATTTCAATACTTTGAACAGATCAGAAATGTTGTCTATGACCATTATATTGAAAGTGCTAGAAGGTTTAAAAAACATTACATAATACCTTAAACACCCCCCAAGGGGAAGGATTGGGAACACAAGCTTCTGACAATATAAAAGGAAGAAGGGGCTAAAGAGGGCACGGGGAGGACCAGGAGAGTATACACAGAGCAGGGGAGCAGTACTACAGTCTCTTTAACCATAACCATGGGCAGCAACACAGGCCAAAAAAAGGTTTGGTGACACTTACCTTCTCACTATTGGGTTATTTTTAGTTACATCCAATCACTAAAATAACTGAGTATTGAAACTTCTGTTTTCTTGCCTGAACTGTGTACTTCTAGAAACCTTTGGGTCACATTCATCATACTTTAAGCACAAGTACAGATAATGATCTAACTGGTAATAAAAAGACTTTAGTTACTTACAATTCTTTCAAGCGAGTCTGAGAAAAAGCATTTTCTTGGATAGACATTATGGCATTGTTGTTCAAATCTCTGAAATGAAGAGAAATAAAACATTCCCAGTCACCATTTCTATAATTAAGTTATATAAACACTTTACATGGTCATGAAAACCTTGCTAGTAGCAAAGATTATTTATATACTGAGCAAAATGGATGCAAAATACTTACAGATGCTCAAGGGATTCAAGGCCAAAGAATGCTTTCTTTGTAACTGACTTAATCTGATTTCCTTGTAAGATTCTGAAATACAAACAGACCTTTCTAATAAGACTCTCCACTAAACAAAATTAACTCATTAAACATTTACCTGTAAAAGGTAGGAAAACGCTTAACATAAGTTTTTAAGAAAGCTTCAAAGCTTTACTTAACCAATGCAAAACACAGAATGAAGGAGTCTATAAAGATGCTGGAATCCAATGAGGTACCTGCGAACAACCACCCTCTGATACACTGGTAGTTTTCACATGTGAAACTACATCTTATACCCAGTTTCTCCCATGTTAGCAAAAAAATCACCAGGTCAGAGAACTTCTGACAAACAGAGAAGCCTTGGAGAAGTTCGCATGGGAGAAGATCTAAAATCTTACTTGAAAGCATTCTCTCTTGCTAGATAAATACCCATAAATCTCACGACTAAGCAGATTATTGGTTCAACTCATTTCTCAGTGCATTTCTTTACTTGAATAGAAATTTGTTTCAGAAATAATTTTCCTTTAAGTACCCCACCACAGAAAACAAAATAAAATACCTCAAAAAACAATATAAACAACCAAACTTCTTCCTTTAGTAGATATTAGAAGGCTCAGACTTTCTAGCCATACCAAATAGACATAATTCTGCCACACGATTGGGTATTCAAAATATACCTTTGTAGATACACAGTTATTGTAAATACATACAATTTAGTGAGACTGGTGAGTCCAGCAAAGGCTTCATTAGCATCTTCTATGGCCCATGAAATTTCATTATTTCTTAAATTTCTACAAAATTTTCAGGGAAAGACAGTTTGTTAGTCAACATGACAATTACACCTCAGGCAGCATCCTGGCGTGGCAATGCCATGGTACAAGTTCTACTTCTGATCCTCATTTTAATAGTTATTTATGATGAAGACTTAACTCTTCTTTTTTAAGGACTATCTGTAATAAGCATGTAAGAAGTGATTCTTATAAGCTAGCAATTAAGCTAGCCTTGATAAATCAAGCAACTTAAGAATTAATTTTCCTAGCTAATACCCCTAATTACAGTAGCACATTAAAAATTATAGTCAGGTCCTGCAAAAAGCAAAAGTATTTAAAGATGCAGGGGATATGGCTAACAAATCTGATTTCAGACTGACAGGATTTCTGGGGACTCAAGCCTTCCGCTTGGTCCTTAAATTTAAATGACTAAGAATATTATCAATATAGAGCTTCACAGCTTCATGGCGATTGAACATGCTCTCTGAGAAGTTCGATATACCCAGGTGTTAAAGTGATCACTCTTTTTCCTTTGAAAGGAAAATTATGGACTTTTAAAATTCTCCAATCCATTCTCAGAGGAAATGCACCACACGATGTCCTGATGGAGAAACTACTAGTAGAAGATATTTAATCATTTATGCCTCCTTAAGTCATCTCGTAATAAAGCATAAACCTTTTTGCTTTATAAAACATAAAGTTGCATTATTTATAGTAAAGAGATAAGAGATAACCCTTCTCATTTAGTTATCTTTACTTGACATGAAAAGCTAACAAAATTCACTTTATCAAGAGCACTGGACTAAAGTCAGAATTTCTCAGGTCTGATCCTAACTCTGCTTTATCTCTACAGCATTAGACAATCATTTATTCCTGCAATTACTTTCCTAATCTTTAACACTAAAAAGTAATCATCAGAGGTCTACCAAAAGACCCTGTCTGCCATCTTTTTTTAATTAATTTATTTCTTTATTTATTTATGCATCAAAGAAGTGGGTGTAGGCTAGAGGTGCGGGGTGAGAGGATTCACCAGAGACAGAGTGGGGAGCAGAAGAAGCAGATCTACTGAAATACACTACTAAGGGAAGCAGTGGGTGAGATGGGAGAGGTCTGCTGCACCACATGTGGGTTAGCTCCATGGGCTGGGACTCAAACTCAGGCCCCAGGGGTAATACTGCTGAGACTTAACTACTGTACCACCAGGGAGGCCCTGCCATCTCTTGATCTGTGAAAAGGCTACAGCTGCATCTAAGTTCCTGAATTTGGACTATCTTGTTTCACCTCTGAAAATGTAGAAAAGGGAAAAAAAGAAAGAAAATCACCTCCAAGTTTTCAAAGCCAAATCTGAAGGAAGACTATCTCATTAAATTTAAAAAATAAGATCAAACTCATATTCACGCACGTTTACACACTTTCACAAATAACCATGCTTTATTTCTTTAGTTCCCAACGTTGAAACCCTCTTTTCTGAGATCTTTCATTAATTCTGAATCTGATGACCAGAAAGCCCCCTATTCAAGAACTTAAGATCTACAAATTCTAATTACAATCTCTTTCTTATTCTGCGCTATGCTAGATTACTGTCTTTCATTAAAATATCTCATCTAATAAAACTATATTCCATGATCAATTTACACTACATTCAATTTACAGAGCCATAGAATTTTAGAATTGAAATGCCTTGGCAACCATCTAATCCTATATCCTTCCTTCACTGAACCAAAAGACAAAGAAAATGTCACCCAGGAAAGGCTAAGTGAGTTTGTTCATCTCATGGTATGGAAAAAAGCACAGGAGGTTTTATATTAAACAGATCTGAGTTCTAATGTCCAAACACAGACTATGTGACTAAAACAAATCATTTCAATCTCTGTAAACCTCTGCCCCATAACGTGGAAAAGAACAATAGCCTAGAATCTGAAACACCAGCATATAATAAGTTTGTTTTTTTTTTTAAAGATTTATTTATTTATTCATACAAGCACTGGGTACAGTCAGAAGCACAGGAGGGTGAGAGAATTCACCAGAGCCAGAGCAGGGAGCAGAAGGACCGAAGTACACTGCTGAGGGGAGCAGTGGGCGGCAGGAGAGGTCTGCGCGCCATGTGGCACCCTCCTCCGGTGGCCGGGGAGCAGCCAGGGATCGAACCGGCGCCGCAGAGGCTGCGGGCAGCTTCACAACCCAGCGCTCAACCGCTAGGCCACCGGGGAGGCCCCTATAAGAAGTTTTTTTCTGTTCAAAGTCATGCAACAAATTATTAACAGCCAACAGGCCTCCTGTGAGTATTGCTCCTACTACACATGTTGCATCCCTCTGAATGAGTTTTAGCACACTGTTCAAGTCAGAGGAACAAGAGAATGTGAATTTCTCACACTAACGACTGTTTTATTTCCCAGTAACTGGTACAACGAGAGATGCTTTCTTGTTAAGTAGACTGACTCAGAATTAAAGTACAAACTGAACTGGTCAGCGATAGATAAGAAGGAATAGTAAAAGAACCACAAAACATTAACATATAAATTCACAGATTGACTTGTTTTATTTGTTTTACTGATTTAAAACATTAGAGAGAAATAAAGACAATATACTCACAGTATCTGAAGATTGGAAAGAAACCTAAATACACCATCAGCTATGTGAGTTATTCTGTTGTCCCCTAAATTCAATCTCTCCAGTAAGCTCAAACCCACAAAGGCAGATTCATCCAGGCGGGTCAACTGGTTATAAGATAAATCACTGAAAATAGAAAACAAGTAAGAAATTCATTGCATTTTAGTTCAATTTTCATGTTCTTATTCTAACTAATGTCTAAAGAGGGATGTTAGATCTCTTACTGGCCATGGCAATGATTTTCTCCACCAGCCCCACTGATATAGCACCCAACACTTACAGATCCGATAGCCTTTGACAGAACTCCCATGCATCAGGGCTGATTCTTTCAACAGCATTCTGGCTCACATAGAGTTGTTGTAACATTCGCAAGCCGTAAAGCCACCCCTTGTTCACTTCTGTGAGGTTATTATGCTCCAACTCTCTAAAAATCAAAGAAAGCAGAGAGAAAAGGTTTCAGAACAAGGCATTTCACAACAGGCACGACAATGAGAATACAAAAATCTGTGTCGAGTTTTGCTCAGAGAGGCATACACCTTTGTCCAACCCAAATGAGTCAAATGCGATTCAGTAAGTATTTGTATCTTAAGATTCAGTGCCAGAAATGCTAAAATATCAGATTTATAAAATTAACACACCAAGAGGTATAATATACCTGTTCTGGATAAATTCTGAAAATTTTCATCAGTCAAAACATTAAGGAAATATAAAACTTTTAGATAAAATGTTTGGGAAAAATGATGACAAAGATAGCAGATTATCTAACAAAGCTTAAAGAGTTCTGTGCACACTTACTTCATATCAACAAACGAAAGAGAGAACTAATATACGGATAATTACGGTAACTCCCTAGCCATTTGGCAGTAAAAATCCTAGTCCTACTCCTTTCCTAATAATCTATTTAGGCTCCACCTAGTACTTACAGTTCTTCCATGTTATCCAAGCCAAAAAAAGCACCATCCTTAAGTTTGCTAATTCCATTCCGCTGCATTTTCAAAGATCTTAAGGAGTCAAGTCCTTGGAATGTCAGACCTTCCACAACTTTAATTCTGTTTCTTTTAAGTTCCCTTTAATCAAAAAAATACTTTTAACATGAGAAAATGGTTTGGTGATTTGCTTTAATAATAATCAAAAAGAAAAAGACATTATAAATGGAAACATTATCTTCTTATAATCAATTTAGTTACTTACAAGAATTGAAGGTGAGGTAGCTTGAAGATCTTGGGTGGAATCATGCTAATTCTGTTCCGGTTTAACTTTACCACTAATAAGGAACTTGATAAATTATCAAAGCAACCAGCCTCCAAGGTGGTTATCCTATTATTACTCAAATTTCTAAAATGAACAAGATAACAAAATATATTAAGTGAAACAACAAATTCTATTTCTGGAAAACTGCCCAAAGTCTATGAGCCCCAGACCTACAACTCAGAAATCATATATAATTTTACAAATCATTTACCTGCTTTGTTTTTTCAACTATAAAATAAGGGTAACACCTACTTCATTTGGATTATACAACAGTATGTGTGAATATACTTTGTAAAAACACTGGCACACATGGGCCTCCCTATGGTGGCACAGCAGTTGAGTGCTGGGCTGTGAAGCTACCTGCAGCCTCTGCAGCACCGGTTCGATCCCCGGCCACCATGGCGCGACAGACCTCTCCTGCCGCCCACTGCTCCCCTCAGCAGTGTGTTTCGTCAGTCTGCCTGTTCTGTTCCCCACTCTGGCTCTGGTGAATTCTCTCATCCTCCCACACTTCTGACTATACCCAGTGTTTTTATTAATAAATAAATAAATCTTTAAAAAAAAAAAAAAAACACTGGCACACAAGCTAATTATCATCATCATCATCATCGTTACAGAGAGTAAGTCACCATTTAACAAATCGCTGCTATTTACCTTTTAGAAAATCATTAGTGGGGAAAAAAAATCCAGCATCAAACCCTTAAAATTATCCTAGATACTCATCATTATTTTCTGACAATAGTGCCCTTCTTTCAGAGGGGAGAAAAAAACTCAACAACGAAAGAAACCCAAAAAGCTGATCCTAGGTTTGTTTCACATAAACATATCAAATTATAATAACAGACATTTCTGGAAAGGTAAGTATCAATAATCACTTTAAAGTACATCTATTTAAACTATTTTAAACACTTTAAAGTAGATCGATTTAAACTATTTTACTTACAGGTATTTAAGGTGCATTCGAGGAAATGAAGATGTCTTGATTTCTGATATTATATTTGAGCTAAGATCTAAACTCTCAAGAGCAGGGTAAAACTGCAATGCCTCTGCATTTATTTCTGGGATTATATTATGAACTCTACAAAACAAAGACAATATTAAAGCTACTGCCAGTGATTACATAATAAGGGAACATAAAACAAAATTTAAAGAACTATATACTGTTCATAATTCAAATAAAAGATCTGAAATCCTGTTTACTTACAATGAGAGAAGAGTAATATTAGATGTTGGTTCTCCAAAATAGGGAATTTCTGTTAGCTCATTGTAATTCATTTTCCTGGACAGGTGGAAAATAGATGTAAAAGTTTAGCGAGGAAAATGTTACCTCTTGAGTTCTGATTTCTGACTAAGGCATATTATTGAGGTTAGATGCCAACGTTGAAAAAAGCATGTGACTCAGAATGACTTAGATTATGATAAAAAAGTATTGTACTACTGAGAAACTAGAGATTTTAATAACACATGTGTTTTCAAGGGGCAGATACACTAGTGATATCAATATTAGAACAGTTAGGAAACAAACACACATTTAAATATTTTTTAATACCAGCAAGGTTCTTTGAATAGTTACATTTATGATAGTTCTTCTTAAAGAATAATTAATTAATCCATCTCTTTACACTGATATGTATATGTATATATGCATTTACGTACAATAATATACAATTAAATTGTATGTAATTTATAATATAAATACTTCTACAAATATCTATTGCTACATACATGTCTATGAATATATTCATATATTTACAATACATAAATAACACAAATATTTATACAATTTATGTAATTGTTATTTATTATTTATATATATTAGAGAGGATTGCTTGAGAACACATATGAAATGAATTTGCCCATCAAGAAATGAAATCTATGATTAATTTTACAGATGTCATATATGTCACCAAGTTGTCTAAGCAGCTCTTTAAAAAGGCTGTCAAATATTTCAGTGCAAATCTAAAGTAATCACATCTCATTAATCAGGATTTCAATCATTGAATAATGTCAACACTCTGGAATACAGAAAAGAAACCAGAAGGTCTCCAAGACACCAACCAGAAGTTACAAAGTCCATGCAAAGTCCATGCAATACTGTAGTATTTGTCAGGTCTTTCCTCAGAGTCTATTCTTTCAGCTAGTAAGCTTGTCAATTGTTAAGCCAGCAATACATATGATAAGGAGCAATAAATATGAGGCAGGGAAAGAGAGAATGCAAGGACAATGAGAGCACAAAGAAGTTACCTATCAGCAAGAAATTATAAAGAAAAACAAATATGAGAGTTCTGGAGGTGTTTAGAAGAGACAAACAGGCCTATACCTCAATAGCCTCTGCCCTGGAATATCATAATGCAATAATTGGTATTAATATTTTAGAAATTTTCTTCCAGAAAATACAAAACAATACATCTCAGTGTTAAAAAGAAAAACTTCCAGTTAAGTGGAAAACTGAATTACATTACCCACACTCCAGATGATACTAAAAATAACTTTTTTATAAATCTGCATCAGACAGGGCACTTTCACCTTAGACAAGTCCAGGCATAAAAACTAGGTGTTTCACTGGCTGAAACTTTAGTAAAAAAGAAACAAAGCATATTTACTTTGAAGAGGGGTGAAAAATCTTACTTTTGGTCCCAGGAAAATAGACTAAATTTTACAGTTTTCTTAAAATCACCAACCCAATGGCACAAAGCCCAGAGAGCCTGGGGTAACAGTTCATAGATTTTTAAATAAATTTATTTTAATTTTTTCCTTCATTTTTTGACAGCATTTCTTAAATATCCCAAATTCATAATTCACTAAATCACCTCAAGGAATCTAATGTAAATTTAAATAAATGTAACTTACACTTCTTGCAGTGTTTGAGATTCCAAGCTGATGTTCCAGTGAGACAACCGATTATGACTCAAATCCCTGAATGGACGAAATTTCATGTTTAGTTTAGCACTGGGAAACAGACTTAAAAAAAAGTAACACTAAAAATTAAGAATAGTAAAAGACCTTTCAAATGTGAATCTGAATAGTATAAAAAGAAATGTTATACAGGATGAGCAAAAATGTATACATATTTCAAAACTAGCTGTTCTTTTATTTTTAGGTTTTTAAAAACTAGAGAATACATTCACATGGTTCAATAATCAAAAAACATAAGAAGATACATAGCAATCTCCGCATCCTTATCTCCAGTCATTCAATTTCCCTCCCCAACAAATTAAAATACACCATTTCTTATAGTCTTCTTTATGCATGGACCAGCAAATTATTACACAAATAATTTCATATAATTTTGCCCCTTGCTTTTTTCACTTAACAATACATTCTGAAGCAATGTTATCATTTCTTCATTCCTTTCAGTGAAATATACTTTAAACACTTTTAAAAAAAATACCTTAATAATATATACTTTTTAAAGTAACATATTATACTTTATTTAGCTAGAGATAAAGAAGACATTTCACAAGTCAAAGATAGAGAGCTTCCATATTAGAAATGGAATTGACCATATCCTTGACAGGGATGTGTTCTTTCCATTTATTCAAGCAATCTAGCTTCAGGGAAGGGAAATTCTTAAAATTATGCTAATGACGGTGGTGGCAGTTAGCACTCACTAAGTGCCAGGCACTCTTCTATTTTTTTTAATATTTATACATATTAGCTACCTAAAGCCATACTTTATAAGGCAAATACTTTATTACTATCTTTACTTTCCTTATACAGAAACAGGCAGAGATTAATAATTTATCAATCTAAGGTCACACAACTAATAAGGAAGCCATAAACTTGAAATTCCATCTCACTTCTAGCAAGCAGTTTATTAGATAGGGATTTCACTGAAATTAGTCATGAATCTAAATATTTAAATAGGCTTAAAAAAAAATTCACCTTGATGCTTCCTGGCAGCTTTACAAGGCTTAGGTGGAATCCAGCCCACACAAGCTGTCTGCCTAAGAATATATTATACATTACAATATGGCTAGCAAGAGGGAAACACTAGAGAAACATTACAGATCACTGTCTCTCACTGTGCCACCACAGGCAGCTGGCAGATGCATGCCGGTCTGAATGATGTCTCTATCACAGCAGAACAATTTGTTCTCTGCTAGTTTCATGTCCGTCCATCTATAAAACCTAACCACTTTAAGAGTTTACTTTACACCATGCATAACTAATGGCTAGAAAAAAAAAATCACTTTTCCACCATAGTACTAAAACCTTTATTCCCGGATATCTAGCACCAAGTATCAACTCAAGGACACTTAAGAATGGAGAAGCATATGGAAAATATAAAAGGAAAGTATGAATTCATTCCACATAAAAACTTTTTTTTTTTTAAAGATTTATTTTATGCATACAAGAGCTGGGGTACAGGCCAGAGGTGTGGGGTGAGAGTATTCACCAGAGACAGAGTGGGGAACAGAACAGGCAGATTGACTGAAGTACACTGCTGAGGGGAGCAGCAGGGGAGACAGGAGAGGTCTGCTGTGCCATGTGGGTAGCTCCCTGGCTGGGTATGGAACTCGTGCTGCAGTGGCTACGGACAGCTTCATAGGTTGTGTCTTAAACCCCTGCACCACTGGAGGTGGGGGGTATTCCACATAAAAACTTTAACATCAGATACTTTCATCCAAGTTACACTCATTACTGAACAGCAAGCAGAATTTCATATACGCAAAGGTGGCTGGTCTGGCAGAGAACAAGTATCTGTATAGCAGGGTAGCATAGTATAATTTAATTCTACAACTCATGCTTACCAAAATTTAACCTTTTTTCTTCCTTTTACAGATTAAGGGCTTTTCTTTTAATCTAACAGTGTTCATTATACGTTTCCAAACCCTAATCTTCCTGGCAGTGTAACTCTTGACTACTAACGCCATGGTTCTCTCACAGATGTCAATGATGACTAGAATAATGGTTTAAAGAAACCCATTACCAAAATCTAAATCAAGTTAAACTTAACATATGCATGGTAATAAGCCACTTTGTATTTATTACCAGTAAAGAATGTTCAATATCTCTACTGGGGAAAGAGGAACTTCCTCTGTATCTTTGAAGAACCTCTAGACTTTTCCACAGAATGCAACGGATTCCAGAAATACTCTGGAACCTCTCCAGAGGGTACTGCAACCTTAAGGATGTATGCTGTGAAACAGTCTCATAGGTCAGAAACTCACCCACAAAATAAGGCTCTTTGGACCCTTCTGCAACAAATTCACTTGAATAGGATTAAAAGATCCGACTCAAATACATCCCCACCCAAAACAGTACTCAAAGAATGCAATTATAAATCACTATATATTAGAAAAACTAGAATTAATGTTACATTTACTGAAAAAATATTACGCAGAGACACATTTTCATATAATATTAATAATCTTGGGCCTCCCCTTGTGGCGCAGTGGTTGAGCGCTGGGCTGCGAAGCTGCCCGCAAGCTTCTGCAACGCTGGTTCAATCCCAGGCCGCCGGCGAGGGTCCCACATGGTGCGCAGACCTTTCCTGCCGCACCCCCTGCTCCCCTCATCAGTGTATTTCGTCAGCCTGCCTGTTCTGTTCCCCACTCTGGCTCTGGTGAATTCTCTCACCCTTCCGCGCTTCTGACTGTACCCAGTGCTTGTATAAATAAAAAAAACTTAAAAAAAAAAAAAAAGAATCTACTGTTTTGTTTTTTCAAGTTGAAACTTCAGGTGCCTTATTAAATCACTTTTAATGAAGCTAATTTCTTCAAGGCCAAGCCTCTTGTATGTATTGTTTTCTCTTTGCATCTCTGCAGCTATTGAAGTAACACTCCTTGTTTAGATGAATATACATAAAGACAGTTCATCTGTACATGTGCCAGACTATGCTGTTCTAATGCCCAAAGCTGTCCTGACCCACTAAGCTACCCTCCTGACCTATCTTCTCTCAATTCTCTGTTCCACCAAGCTGTCAGGTTTACTGTGAGGGCTCTAATGCTGCATTAAAAAAAAAAAAAAAAAAAAAAAAGTGTAGCTGTTCAAGTTATCAAACCACAAGGTATCATCACGTATGTGCAGTAAATATATATTGAACCATGTGCTGCACATGGCTAAGTGCTAGGGTTAAAAACACTCCAGGAGCTGTTCCGTCTCTTTTGAGACCAACATTCACACTATACAGAGGTGGAGTCAATCCAAAACAGAAATAGAAATTCACTGTCAATTCCACTACTCCCCTTCACTAGGAATGTGTAACTTTTTTTTTTTTTTTTAAAGATTTATTTATTTATTTATACAAGCACTGGGCACAGTCAGAAGCGCGGGAGAGTGAGAGAATTCACCCGAGCCAGAGCGGGGAGCAGAGCAGGCAGAAGGACCGAAGTACACTGCTGAGGGGAGCAGCGGGCGGCAGGAGAGGTCTGCGCGCCATGTGGGACCCTCCTCCGGTGGCCGGGGAACAGCCAGGAATCAAACTGGCGCTGCAGAGGCTGCGGGCAGCTTCGCAACCCAGCGCTCAACCGCTGCGCCACTGGGGAGGCCCTGTAACTTTCTTTTGTAGTTAGATTTCACTCTGGAATTTAACCCGATGGGGCATTATGAGAACACACAACCACATCCTTACTCTCCATGAGCACACTTTTCCTAAAGACTGAAATCTGAAGACTTCAAATATCAGATATAAAACTTCTAGATTAAGAATATGTATATTTTAAATTAAAAGTCTCTCATTACTCCTTGCAGGGGCCAAATTCACTAAGTTAATGTTAATGCATAAGTTAATGTTAGCTTGACTGTCTATTTTAAAAGACAAAAAAGACTTTTAAAACCCAAAGTCCTGAAGTGGAAAACTGTTTTTCAAAGATTTTCCCCTTTCAAATATCCCTAAAATATACTTAAGAACTTGAAGTAATCCAATACTTGATAAATACAACCTAAAATCTAGTTTTGTGACATGATATTCAATAATCTTTCCTTTATTTTTATTATCAATAATATCTGAACATAATCATGATACAATGATTAGAGAATGGTCTCAGAAATGACCTTATCTAACTGTTGTAAACTCAGCTGTCACTCATGCTAACCTACAGGGATGTAGCTGTAATAAATGATGAATTATTAAAGTTCCTGGTATCACAAGGAGCCAGAGGTGCCATTAATGTAGTCACTTAGTACCATCAGGGTGTAAATAATTTATAAGTTTTATACATAAATGCAACAGTTTGAGGAGGAGAATCAAGTTCTGCAAGCTAATTGCAAAGAAGTCCTGCAGCAATGGGGATGCAGGAATTTTCTTCAGTCCAGACACTCCTGAGTCCTCATCTATCTTTTTGTTTTCAAAAATCTGCAGCACCAAGAGGCTGAACTGTGAATAACAAAATCTGACAAAAGGGCCCTTCGCAAAAGTTAAAATATACCAATAGTTTGAGTATGACAATGCTTCACACATTTATTCAGCATACTCTGCCCTTTCTTTTACAAATGGAAGCCCCTGTCCTGTAGGAGCATACCTAGAATAATTTACTTCTTTTTTTTAAAGATGTATTTATTTATAAAAGAACTGGGGTACAGGTCAGAGGCGTGGGAGGGTTGAGAGGACTCAGGAGAGACAGAGCGGGAAGCAGAACAGGCAGACACTGAAATCCACTGCTCAGGGGAGCAGCGGGCGAGACAGGAGAGGTCTGCTGCGCCACCAGGGAGGCCCGCATAACTTACTTAAAAAATAATAATATTCAGGATTATCATTATGATCAATTACAGTACTGTGATTTAACATGTTCACACATCTTTATCAAACTATCAAAATTTTATAACTATTATAAAGCTCTTTAGAAATGAGTATAACAAGAAGTTGCCATATCACTTACATTATTGGCAGAGAAGGAAGAGCTAATGAAGCCAAGCATTAGTTGGGTTTCATTACTAATGTAATCCATTATTTCTTAATACCCATGAAGTTT